GATGCCAGGAGCTACTAGTAGCTTCTTGTTCCTAGTAGCGATGGCCTACAAGCTACTAGCTTCTTGTTCCTAGTAGCCATGCCAGGAGCTACTAGTAACTTCTTGTTCCTAGTAGCAATGGCCTCCAACCTACTAGCTTCTTGTTCCTAGTAGCGATGCCAGGAGCTACTAGTAGCTTCTTGTTCCTAGTAGCGATTGCCTCCAACCTACTAGCTTCTTGTTCCTAGTAGCTAGTAGCGATGCCAGGAGCTACTAGTAGCTTCTTTTTCCTGGAGGCTACTAGCTTCTTGTTCCTAGTAGCGATGCCAGGAGCTACTAGTAGCTTCTTGTTCCTAGTAGTGATGGCATCCAACCTACTGCATATCAGAGATCAGCATTGATTTGCAAAGCCGGCTTCGCAGGACACAGTCGGAGCTCCAACTCTCGTGAGGTTCGTTGGATCGTTGCATAGCACCGGAGCACCTGAGGAGCTTGGCCCTTTCGAATAGTGGGAGAATGCTTCCTTGCTCCTAGTAGCTTCCTTGCTCTCTTTCTTTTCTCATTAGGTTAGAGGCCATCAAGGCTGTCAAGGCTGCTCTTTCGCTAGGCTCGTGCTGCAGCGCAGCAGCTTCACCGGTTCCGCCATGCCTCTGTGGGTTCTTGCCGACCTCATGAGTGCGCAAACGGAGATCACGACCGTTGATTCTCCTGCCAAGACCGGCCAAGCTGGGCAGGTATCCAGAATTGGTGGTGGCCGCTCTTGTGACAAACTCAATATTACTTGCAATATGAACTCCATGACACGATCATGTTTGAACATATATGGAAGAACTATTCCTGTCATGTATTGTTAAAATTATTCAAGAATTATTTTTGGAGACTGAGCCATATTTTCTAAGGACGTGGCATCTGTCCTCGAAGAGCGCTTGGCAGATGCCGAGCAACGCCTTTCACAGCTCTTGCGAAGTGTTTGGGGCCACAGTGTTTGCTTGGTGACTGCACTCTAAGATAAGTGGTGTTTTTCTTTGAGTTCTTGAAATTTCTACCTTCACTTTGGATCGCATCATGGGATCCGCTTTTTCGAAGACTAGACGAACAGAGTTGACTAGCATCATGGGCTTGTGGATTCAGGTAGAGTTCTTGGAAGAGCCCGGACCCGAGTGACTCCAAGCTGTGTGAATCCATAGTGCTGAGAACAACGATAGCCTTAGATCTTATGTAATTTCGATATTTAAGGTCTTCAAGGTTTTTGGGTGTTCTCACGATTTCTCCAAACTCTTTTTCAGGAGATGCAGTGCCAAGTACCTGGACATTTAGTAGTATTTAGTATAATGCATGTTTGATGGATTTTAATGGTGTCACAATCTGTCACAAAGGTCAGACAGGGTGAGGTATTTGTCACTGGCATAGTTTCGCCTTTCGTTGTTCCACTTGTTTCAAGGCTTCGAGAGCTCTTCCAGAGTCGTTCTCCCAAATTTGCCATACGGCCACCACCTTTCCAGAAGTCTTGCACTCAGCATTGCAGCACTCAAACGAAGCAAATTCGATATTCTATGATATTCTACCGATCTCATTTTGGGTCTCACCAAAACAACACAAAAGGTTTCTGTTGAATTTCTGGAACTTGAGGCCTCCGACCACTAGGCCTCAAGGTG